AAAGAGGAAGAGGAGTTGTTTGACGAGATTGTATACTCTAACCCAGCTTCAATGGGCAAGAATTTCTGGAATACTCTGTCTACTGCTTTCCCTTCAAAAACAAAGATGGAGATTGTCAGCTACTACTTCAACGTTAACATGCTTAGGAAGCGAGCTGAGCAAAACAGATGGGACCCATTGAACATTGATAGTGATAATGATGAATGGCAGGGGGAGAGTGACAACGACGAGTCCACTATCCAGGATGGTCTTGACTTCCCTCAAAAGCAGCATTGTCATGAAAGTGAGGATGATGACGAAGATCTCTCTGATGAGGGGCCTGGCCGGAATTCTTCTGATTTTGATCCTTCCTTTGAGTCACCTGGTATGAAGAAGTCTGTTGACGGTGGAGAAACTGGTCTCCAAGATGGAGGAGGATCATGCACATCTTCAGATTCAGGGGTGCAAGGTGGCCCCTTGAAGCCAGATAATGGCTCCCTAGAGTGGAATGGATATAACTTAGAATCATCTGATGGTAAAACAATGTGGGACGTGTATAATGTGAGTTGCCCCAAGTTTAATTTCGATTTCTTACCGACGTGCAGTATGATTGAGGAGATCTTTGGAGAGGGAGATTTTGACTCCAAAGGCAAGAGATGGTGAATGGTCTTGGCTCTGCCTCTGGAAAAGATTTACCAAATGCCTGGTTCTCTTGTCCTTTCTTGTCCTCATTTTAGAGCATTAGAATGTCCAGTTTTCCTTTTGTAAATTGCCATTAAAGTGGGAAGATGGGAGTCAGCATAAAAATGTAAAATAGTACAGAATAACTTTATTCTGTTTGAGAAAAGTAGCCCTTACATTTTTGGGTTCTCTTTATTAAACTTGGATATCATCTCAATTCTCAAGGGAAAGTTGCACAATTTGTTACTATCGTGTTCATTACATAGCTGTAGGCCTGTAGCTTAACCCCTAACAATACAGACGCCTGAACCTCTATAATTTTTTCATTATATAGTTCATTAACATCATTGTATTGGTTCTCAAATATTAATACAATAGTATCTCCTGGTTTTCCATGTGTTGATATTCCATTTAGTTGCTTACTATTCCATTAATGGGTTGGTCTATATTCCAAAAATGGAAGAGTCAGAATTGGTTAAACATGTGCTAGTTTGGTTTGTTTGCGGGAGCTGGGTCCAGTTTTGAATGGTTAAATCGGAAATTTGAGTTTCCTAAAACGGGTTGTGAATTGACTGGTTCTGGCACAATTCAAACTAACTGGAATTGACCACCTTTATATCGGACTAGGGGTGGACTCAGGCCGGTTCGGGTCCGGGCCTGGCCGGGCCTCGGTTCAGGAAAGGGGAGGCCCAGAACCGGCCCGGGTAACCCCTGGTTCCGGGTCGAGCCTCGGCTCTTTTTTTTTTTTTTTTGCTTTTTCCTAATTAACCCCTACCCCCCCTATCCCAAACCATCTCAAATGACCCAAAATACCCAGTCCAACCCAAAATTTTAACAAAAATTCAAAAAAAAAAGAAAAATAAAATAAAATGGCCCAGACCGGGCCCGAACCGGTTCACGTTTTGAGGGGCCCGGACCGGAACCCCAGCGGGTCGGGCCTACCCGAACCGGTCATTGACCGGGCCACCGGGCCGGGCCGGAACAGTGCCGGTTCGGGCCGGTTCCGGGTCGGGCCACCCGGCCCGAGTCCAGGCCTATATCGGACCATCGGTTGCTCGTTTTTATTACAGACAGGAATTTTAAAAAATTTAAATTAGGTTGTTGGCAAATGTATCAGATGGTTGTGGTCTGGGATTAGATTAGGACTGTCCATCCCTAACTTTTACGTGGTATATTACAAAAATCTCAATGATTTGGGAATACTAAAGTACTTGCTCCCCACTACTAGGTGGGATCAGTATAAATGTGGCTTTGAAAGTGTTTGAGTCTTTGAGTTTCTGTTGATCACACAACTTTCATAAAAGAAACCTCCATAACCTCATCTGTTCATCATGAGAAGGGAGGAAGCACAGGCTAAAATGTGAGAGCATCAAGGGCTCTCTTGGAATTAGGCTAAGTGTCAAATAAAAGTTGGTTGTAGGTTTGCATGCTGACCTTTTGTACAATTGCGGTTGACTTGTGGAAGCAATGAGTTGAGGTTGGGTTGTACATCTTTATTAGGCCAGTCATTCTTGGTGCACACATTTGGCCGTGTAAACCACCGTGTACACGCTTATTTCGTCTGTGTACAGAAGGCCTTTTCCTTATTAGGCCCGAGAAAACAATAGGCAGCCACAAACACCATCTCCCTCTGGATTAATCATAACCTGCAAATTTAATACCCAATGGCATCCATAAACAGTTAAAAGTGGTTATGGTTGCTCTCTTTTGTTAGAAATTCATGGTCATGATCCCTCTTTTTTGCAATTCATTCTATTCAAAAGAATGTAATTTGATCTATCTAGCTTTTAAAATGTGGCCAGATCAGGTCTGGATGTTTTTTGTCTGGTTTGAATGATTTTAAAAATCTGAAACTTGGATGTTCCCTAATCTTGTCTGAAATATAAGAATTGGTCTAGACCATCACGATCTCGTCTGAATCTTTCTAATAGCCTTTCAAATAAACAGTAAGCAATAAAAATAACATGCACAGAGTAAGCATCATGAGTAGGGCCGTAGGCCGGTAGGGGGAAAGCAGCCTTAATAGAGGAGGAACTATGTCATTAGGTGTGGTTAGCATTTCCCAAAATCACCAAGATTCACAAATTGAGCTCCAGGGATGACATAAATCTTGATTTCTTAGGTTGATCAAGATTATAGGTTGGTTCATCAAACAATATCAGTTCAACCTAATATCTTTTCTTTTTCTTCCCTTATTTGTGTATCAAAATTACAATATATTCGAACTCCGCATTTGCAGTTTAATTTGGTGTAATTTATAAATATACAAAGTTTCATTAATACTACGAGTATTATAGAGTGATAATTTATTAGAGTGATATTTTCGGATGACGAAGAACAGTAAATGTGAAACTCAAGTATCGCCTTAAACTTTCAGTTGAAACGGATCACATTTTTCAATTATAAAGGCTAACCCTTTTCGAAACTATATTTCAACCAGAAATTATATTCTCTTTTGAAGCTGATCCTGAGGTGTTAAAAACGAAAAAAATCAGAGGAGGATCTGAGCAAGTATATCTCTGTTCTGAAATGTTTAGAACAGACACAAAAAGGCGATAAGGAGGGAGAGAAGGTGGGTACCTTACCTGGAAGCGGCGTCATTCCTTGAGGCAGATCGGAGTTTGAAATTTTAACAGTTCGAGCTGATGAAGAATTAGAAAAAGGGGACAGAGAAATCAATGATCAAATTGGAGGAGGCATCATCATCATCATCATCATCAATAGCGGGTAGAATTACACCCTCTTGACTATCTTTTGCACCAGCTTTGATCCTAGTTCTTCTATTCATTGATTTTCACCAATATTACACCTCCAGACTACAATATCCTCAAAGTTTCAGACTGCAGTAGAGAGATGCATTCAAACGTGTGTCTGATGTCTGTATGTATATAATACTCCGTATAATTAAATGAGAATGTGATAAAGAGAGAAATGAATGTGGTGACTGGTGACTTTGCTGATTCTTCTGATTTATGAAAAAATTATATTTAAAATATATTTTATTAATAAAATAAAGAAAAAATCATATGAAAAATAGATAGAATGATCATCTAAAGTAACTTCAGTCACTACAGTCAGAAAAGTAACTTCAACCTTACATTTTTTTATTATTACACAATTCGGGACATGTAATAAAAAATTACGTGTTTGATTAAAAAGTTGGCTGATAAGCCTGAAACAAAACTGAAATGTTTGGTGCACACATTTTGATGTACATTTTTCGTGCATTCGTCTGTCTCATGCATACAAAGTTGTCTGTCCACGACAATTTTACGTGTCTGTCCACACACACGAGTGCATGAAAAATGTACACAAAAAGGTGTAATGCTCAAAACAAAATGTGAATCCTTTTACGTTATCACCCATTCACCCTTATTCCCTTTTTCACGGAGACTATTCTCACCGAACCGAAATAGAAGAGTGACTTTCAATATTCACTAATCAATTCATGATTTATACTTGCATATTATAAAAGAGGACATCTTTTTTCGATTTGATTAATGCTAATTAATCAAAGAGGACAACTTTTTTCCATTATTAATGTTCTTTCAAGAACGACATTCAAATTAGGGTTGAGTTATGGTCCGGTCCAATACTTTGTTGAATTTGTACCCGTATCATGATTATTGAAATGATAGATTCAGTCTTAAATTTGGAACATGTTTGGTAATCATGTTTTTCGGCTTATCATACTTATCAGTTAACTTTTTCCCCAAACACATAAATTTTGACGAGCGTTGGATTGTGTAATTATAATAAAAAGTAAGGTTGGAGTTACTTTTCTGTCTATATTGGCTGAAGTTACCGTATAAGATAATTTTTGCTATTTTTTCATTTAATTTTTTATTTATTTTATTAATAAAAGATATTTTAAATATAATTTTTTATAAATCAGAAGAATTAGCTATTGCATCCAATGCAACCAGAACTTCATAAATTTTAGCATAATCAGTTGATTCAGTCGCTTTCAGTGTTACCAAACAGGCTCTTAAACTCGTTTGGCACGACTCCATTTTCAAATAAGACGGTATCAATTTATTTTGGGTAGTGTTGTTACCGCTACCTATATTATTAATAACCATGCTAGGGATACACAAGTTGTACACAACTTCTACACAAAATGTTGGTCACAGACAATTGGTACGAAATTGTCTGTGGTCACATGTACACAAACAACTTTTGTCTGTGTCCACATATGGTTGTAAACGAATCAAATAATTTGTGCCCGATTCGCGATTCGAATTCGTATAAGACGATTGAATCCAGAAAATTCAAATACAAATATGAATATTAAATTTGATTCGATTTGTTATCAAATACAAATAAGAATATCAGTGTATTCGATTCGAATATTAATAAAATATATTCGATTAATAATAGTGATAATAATAATAATAATATTAATAATAATAGTAATAGCACTATAATAACTTTTAAAAGATAGCAATACCCTAAAGTGTAGTTCATATATACATTTACGCATACAATTTATAAGTCTATTTGTAATAAATCAGAGTATAAATACGAATACAAATCGTATTTTTGGTTTAAATGTCTTTAAAAAACAATACAAATAATTATGTATTCGATTCGCATAATAAAATTAGAGTCGTCTGACTTTGATATATACAATTATCAACTTATTTCACACATTATAAGTGTAATTAATAATATGTTAGTGTTTATTTCAAAAGGTTTGAAATAGATTTATATTTATTAATCACAAAATTGATTCACTTTAGTATATCGTGCACAATCTAAAAATGCATTGATCCATTGAATTTAAATTCTAAAAACACATATTAATCATAGCGTACATTTACAACATAAAAAAGTATAAGAAAGTTTAATTTTAAGTGACATTTGACTACTTAACCTATGCTCAAATCTATTCGATATTTGTATAAGATTCGTTAACTATTCGTATTGTTAAACAAATACAAATACAAATCGAAATTAATATTCGCTTCATCATATTTCAATTCGAATTCGTATTCGAAAAAATTAAACAAATACAGATACAAAATCCTACTATTCGACTCGATTTGGTTCGTATACAACCCTACAGGTCCACACACATTTACTTTTTTTTTGTAAAAAGTACGCTGACAGCCGCCTGACACTGACATTAGCTTGCAAATCAATCAATATATGTGCAGTGCCTGTGCACACACACAATATTTTCATGTTGCACAAACAATTGTTTGTCTGTGTGCGCATACAACTTTTACCACACAGACAATAGTTGTGCGTTCCACAGACAATAGTTGTCTATGTGATCAACTTTAGTTGTCTGAGTGATC